ATCGTCGTTTGTGACAACGGAACTGTCAGAGTGGGAAATAACTTCTAGTGCCCGTTAGAATCATATAATATTGAGTGATTTCAAGCAAAAGTGATTGGCTGATTGGATTGAATTCTAGAAGTAGTAATACTCATAAGTCTTCGAGAACAATAACATTAAAGAAAACTCCAAGACATCCGTCGGATAAGGAAATACGCTGGGACAGTCGCCAACTCATGAAACGTCAAATGGCATCTATGAATCAATCATTTTGCACAACTTACCGGTCATTCGAGGAGGCATTTGAAGGTGACGAGATGGGACTCTTTTCAGGGTGCTTCAGAGAGCTGTAGGTCCGCAGGGGGTGCGCAAGCTTAAACAGTCGACTCCAACGTGGTGTACCAGTGGCAGAATAGTGGGGGAAAATGGTGGTGATGTCGACGTTGGCGTATTCTGGAGGTAAAAGATTACCCAAAGGCGTGTTGAGCGTCGCATTTAGACACATATCAACAGGGGAACATGTAGGTGGCAAAGACGGGGATCCGTCAGATGGCCAACCATGCCGAGCATTGGGCGAGCTTGAAACACCCGGAGAAGGACCCTTAAATAGAATAAAAATCCAGTCATAGAAGGGGTAGGTTACAGGCCATGTTACGAGATATGTAAATATATGTTGCAGCAGACGCCTGAAAAAAGCTGCTGAGCGGCTGCTAACGGGGCTCGAGGATGAACCCCAAGACAGAGCGGGACAAGTGAGTTCTGTTAGCCATCGGTGAAAATTTGTCAATGTTAGTATTCCCAATCGAAACCGACAAGACAACGAGCCCATGGCTCAATTTTTACAGCGTTGGACTTCTGATAAAAAGGGCGCGGATTGGAGTCTGGGGTGGTGCACCACTTGGGGTCGGGTATAACTGGCTGATTACGGCTACTGAGCCAGAAATGGCCACTCAAGTCTCCTTTGTCTTTACCGGCAATGGTCATTTGCCTAAAATACTAGCCGTTGTGCGGCTGCTGAGAGGACTCAAGAATGAGCCCCAAGGCACAGCGGGATGAGTGAGTTCCCTTAGCGATCGGTAGACATTCATCAATGAGTGGAAAATCACGGTCTATGTCGAAATTCATCAAACTATATCAAGCATTTACATTATAAAAGACAAATGAGATGTGAATACTTGCGATAGGTCTAAAAAATATTTCTTTATACACTCCAACCACCCAAATGTTTGAGGCTCAATTCTTGTAGATGGTACCCAGATTTGCGATTGTTTGGCAGCAAGTGTGGACAAACAGATGTAAATAACAAACCTTTTAGACAGGGCCAGGATAACCCTAGAGTTATAAAATCAGGATGGCTGGAGCCACCGAGCAGGTAAGAGGAAATTGTTATCTTACCCTGACCTGCATTACTTTTGAGGCTGCAAGCGGAGCCGGATGCAGAGGCGGGGGCATCATGGTTGAGGCTAAGCCAGCCGTTTCCTCCTCAGTCTTCACTGACGCCTGAAAGATAACTGGGGATCCTTGTAGACAACTGGGCGCCTCGTTAACCGGAGGTGTTTTGATGTCGTCCGCGGTGGAAGATGGGGACGTAACGGTGGGCCCGGTGACGCTTGCGGTACTGGTTCCAGCAGCAGTTTTCCCGGACAGCTGCATGTCGGGATGAGGTGAATCAGCAGACAGTGGAGTTGGTGAAGATGAAGCATGCAACTGGGCAGGTTTGGTATCAAAGAGTTCAGGCTTCAAATCAATCTCAGCGGACATAAGATCTGCGGTCGAAGTGTTGTTCAGTGTGGGATCAGTGGGCGATGGCTCTGTGGGCTGGTCAACTAAGGATTGTTGTGAAGACGTTGCTTGGGGTGATTTGACGACGTCCGCCTTCTCAATAGATTCCTGTGGCAACAGAGGCTTGACATTGACTTCCACAGACTCGACGGGAGGTATTTCTGACTGTTTTGGCTGTTCGTCGTAGTCGTCCTGTGACAAGATTTGGAATAATAACTGTAAACGAACTATCGTTAATACTAACATTTAGGGAAGCTCATATAGAGAAAAGATGGCCAGCGGCCTTATCGAATGCGGTTCATAAATCCTAACTACTGCGTGAGACAATATTTCCTATATAAATTCTCGGTAAGGCTGAAGGTCTGAGACAGAGAAAAGTAGCCTTTAACCTTTTCAAGTTCTTTGTATGATGGCACAAGCCTAACAAATCAATTATTGGTTTAACCAACGATAAATAAAGTATCGTTCATAGTTCTCAGGGCAAAAACGTGGTAAACAAATGTGTGGAACATATAAAAGTAATTTGCATAATCACGACCTATGTCAAATCAGAAATAAATTCCGGTAGAATAAAACGCAGGCGAGCATAAACGCCCACTGGAAACATCATTAAGCTCCTTTTCAATGGAACAGAAGTTTGACACTTAGTTTTATTGTCTCGACTTTTCTGCATGTGTAACACTGATTTTAAAATAGAAAATATCGAGCATCCATCGAATCATGGCATGGGAAAGTGATCTACAAACCTCTTCATCCGTTCTGGTCGGAAGAGCGTTTTCAACAGTAGAGAGGTCCAACTGGCCCTCATTGATAACCTCAGTCTCGTCGTAATAATCCTTGATTTCTTCGGGAGGGACAGGGCTCGCGGAGTGACTAAAACTGGTGGGTGACCGGCCTTCCTCAGCAATAATTGAGCGCATCGTGGTCTCAACTTCAGCCACATGACAATTGTCTAAATTACTGATGGCCGTTAACTCTCCTTCACGTGCGTAATCCTCTTCCAGTCTACCTTGCCGATCAACATTCCCGAAAAGAAAGGTACAAAGTTTGTAACGCGGGCCATCGGCTTCTGGGTTGTTCTCCATGTATCAAGTTTCTTTTTTATCTCTTCCTTATTACAGCAGGATCGTCTAAAAGCGAGATGAAGCATAAATGAGCTCTGCAAGTACAGGAAGCTAGCAAATTGAACGAAGATTAAGAGCCTTATTTGAGAAGGCTGGAGCTGTCAATAATTCTTATTCTTTGATAAACGACGAACGCATAAAGTAGACATTAAAAAGCTAATTCCACGATGGCGAATAGATGTGATTACCTGATCTATAGCTCATGAATAGTGGGCAAAATAGGCTAGTGGCGCACGTAGCAACTAGACGCGTTGTCAGATTGATGACTTATGAGTCATAGCCAGACAATAATTACGGTACGAAAAGTGAGCACTTCCTTACTTTCCCGAAGGTTAACTCTGAAAATAAAGCTCCGCTTCATTGACCCCACTGTTAACAACGAAGGTATTTCGAAACAGCAGATAAAGTAAATATCGTAGTTGAGTACACAAAGAAACAACAGAAAACGAACGAGAATGCCAAAGCAGAGTTTAATTTCTTTGGGTCTAGACTTTTTTTGCAAGCGCATAATCTCGACAGAGTAATCGCAAGTTTATCTGCGTTTTCTAACGACAAACTATAGCCTAGTACTACATTTATGACTACTCAGCAATCCAAGGACCAAAATGAACAATAAGATTAAGTACTTTGCCTATCGAGGTGAAATACAATGTGAAACCTAATAGGAACGCTTGATCTAAAACATTCATTCGTGATTTGGTGGCAGTCATGTTTGTAGTATTATTGCGTCGGTAAGAAACAGCCACAACAGCCCTCCATAACATCTAATGGGG